GGAAAACTGCAGACAGCTCACAGGGACATAAAGGTACCTCCCGGAAGTAGTCAAAGTTGCTATGCCTGGAGCAGGTGGGAAGTACAGAGAGAGGGAGGGAAGGGAAGAAAGCCATGGGGAGACCTGTTTATTTTAAGGTAATGAAGGTGTTCTTAAAGCAGGGGCATTATGGACAGACTCAGTAACTAAAGTAATAAACAACAGAGCATGTGGAATTCTGGGTAAGATGCTGGATTAGAAACTGAGTCTGGGTGAATGGATGAATAAAGTTAGAAGAAGGACTAAGGGTGCACCAAGTGCCCAGCTCACACTGTGTACACCATTAAACTCCCCACAAACATAGTTCTCCAACTGCCTCAGCACTGACTACTGCTGCCAATCCTTCAGACCTGAGGATTCTTAAAGAAAGCAATCTGAGCTCAGAAAAGTCTTCTCATCTGCAGGGGCACATTGAATTGCTTGAATTACTGAGATTCTGCCCTTCCCAAACTGTAGAAACTGATACAAACGACAACCCACAGCTATTTGGTGGTGGTGCACACCTTTAATCCCAGCACTTGGGAGGCAGAGGCAGGTAGATTGCTGAGTTCCAGGCCATTCTGGTCTACAGAACAGGTTCCAGGACATCCAGAGCTGTCACATACAGAAACCCTGTTGCCAAAAACCTAAGAAAAAAAAACCAAAACCAAAAAACCCAATAACAACCCGGGGGAGAAGCTACATCCTCATAATGAGGAAACATAATAACCAAATACATAATAGCTGCTATTTTACATTACTGTTTATTTTTTGATTGTTGGTTATTCAATTTCTTCCATAATTTTACTTTTTTATTTGCATTTTTCCTTTAATTATTGAACTGTATACTTGAACTTCTATCTTACAAAGAAGACCACAGAGACTGTCCCTTCCTTTTCTTTAACTACAAAAATCTTCTCCTATTTCCACATCTGCTCTAGTCTGTCTCTCACAGCTCAACCCACATGCATTTCTACTCATTCATATTCCACCCCCTTTACACTACTTTCCCAATTTCTTTCACATTTTTCTACTTAACAATATTGATAGCCTCACCTTTTAGAAAAAAAATCTATAAATTTCATTTGTTTCTTAAAGAGTTCCCAGTGTTGCTATTTCTGGATCTGATCAGGGACACTAGTGTCCCCTATTGCAAGTCATGTCAAGACTGCTAGTAAGGCATTAGGGGTAGCTAGCCATAACTCCCCACAACCAAATAAAAGTGGGGACCATAGTTTGCAGTAAACACCACCCTTCCACCCTTCTGAAGGATTCTTATAAAACAAAACAAAACATTAGGGAAAGGGGGAAAGTGGTGGGAATACACAACCATCCCAACAGATGCACAAAATACAAAGAAATACACACTAAGAATGAGACAGTCTCCATAACACACCCACAACCTCTCAGCTCCACAAAAATAGAAAACAAAGACACCAAGACAGTTAAAATTTCAGAGAAAAATTTAGATATTTTTTTAAAGGATCAGTGGCCATAAAGGTCACTCAGGTAAGCAGATGATCAAAATATGGAAACCCATTCAGGACCTAGACAAGAAAGTAACCAGGGAATGAAACAGTTGGGAACTTGGAGTAAAAATTTCAAAATATGGAGAAAAATATTCAACCAAGAAATTGAGGTACCGAGGAGGAACCAAGCAGAAGCAGTGGAAATATAAGCCAATAAATCAAATTGGAAAATTACAAAAGAATGCTTTATGAACAGACTAAGCATAAAAATGAGTTTCAAAGAAAAAGACAAAGTCAAGATAACACTACATTAATGTGGTGGTATTGTGTTCCCCAAAATATTGTGTACCTTAATAAACTTATCTGGGGTCAGAGAACAGAAAAGCCACAAGATATTTAGGCTAGAAAATGTTAGCACACACCTTTAATCCTAGCATTCCAGAGACAGAAATCCCTCTGGATCTCTGTGAGTTCAAGGCCGCATTGGAAACAGCCAGGCATGGTGACTCACGCCTTTAATCCCAGAAAGCAGCCTTTAATCCCAGGAGTGGTGGTAGAAAGCAGAAAGGTTTATAAGGCGTGAGGACCAGAAACTAGAAGCATTTGGCTGGTTAAGCATTTTGGCTGGTTAAGCATTCAGGCTTCTAGCGGCAGTTCAGCTGAGAGCCATTGGAATGAGGACACAGAAGCTTCCAGTCTGAGGAAACAGGACCAGCTGAGGAATTGGCAAGGTGAGATAGCTGTGGCTTGTTCTGTCTCTCTGATCTACCAGCACTGACCCCAATAACTGGCCTCAGGTTTGATTTTATTAATAATAACTTTTAAGACTCATGCTACACATTAAGACATATATTTTTAAATATTAATAGGATGATCAAAACATATGAAAAACCTAACTACATTAAAGAGACCTAGTGATCCATGATAGAAGGAACTGGGGGGAAGTCAAAAGGTATAGACAATTAATTCAATGAAATAATAGCAGATAATTTCCTGAAACTACTAAGGAACTGTAATATTTCAAATGACAGTTATAGGCAAAATATTTCTGAGCAAGGCTCTAACAGTATTCGGCATAACCCTAAGAATTAATAAATGGGATCTGAATAGGACTCCAATAACAAAGGAAACAACTCTAAGAACTGATAAAAATCAACTACATGAAATTAAAAAGGATTTAGGAAGCCATAAGAAACTGTCAGGAGAGTGAATAGACAGCCTATAGATTGGTAGAAAATTCTGCCAGTTATACTTCAGATAGGGGACTAATACCTAGAACATATAAAGAACTACAAAAATTAAACACACACACATGTACAAATGCACACTACCAATCAATGTATAATCTAATGAACCAAATAAGCGTTTCCAAGAAGAAACAAAAATGGACAACAAACATTTTTTTATGTGTTTCAATATTATCAACCACCAGAGAAATGCAAATCAAAGCTACTCTGAGATTCCCTCTCCTATCAGTCTATATGGTTAACACTGAAAAAGCAAAATATATCAAAAATGGCAAAGAGTATGAGAGAAGAAGAACCTTAAATCACTGCTAGTGCCAGAGTAACCTGAAAGAGATACTATAGAAATTAATAATGAATTTTCTAAAAATTCTAAAAATACCATGTGATCCAGCTATTCCACTACATGGCATACACCCAAAGAAAGAACACTATATAAGACCCCAGTGATACACACACACCAATCTTACCACTTTTTTTTTTTTTGCAAAAGCAAGAAAGTGGAATTAATTTATATATTTCATTAAAATGTGGTAAATATACACAATGGTATTTTATGCAGCCATAAAGAATGTTATGTTACAAAGTTACATAGCCTACAGAAAAACAGATGAATCTGGAAATATATCAAATAAGGTAACCTACACTTAGAAAAATATTGCATGCCCTCTCTCCTATGCAGATCCTAGTTTCATTTTTTTTTAATTAAAAAATTCTCTGCATGTGAATGTTTTGACTGCATGTATCTTGTGCATACTTAGTGATCACAGAGGCCAGAAAAGGTCATCCACTGGAATGCAAGTTACAGAAGTTTGTGAGCTGCCACATGGGTGCTGGGAATCAAACCTGATTCTCTGGGAGAGCAGCCAGGGCTCTTAACTGCTAAAGCCTCTCTTCAGCCCCTGATTCTGCGTGCGTGGGAGAGGGGGGGGGGAAGGAGTATAATTATGAAGGTGAGAGTGTATACAGATAATCAAACTAGAAAGGGGACAGAAAGAGAAAGATTTCTGAAGCAGGGAAGACACACGTGATACTAAAACAGCAAGGGGACTATCACATATGGAAAGGTATGGGTGGGGGAGGTCGTCACACAGGGAAAGGAATAAGGGAAGTAAGGGAAGAGTACCAACAAAAACAAACTAGGTTTGAAATGCCACAACGAAACCATGACTTTGTCTTCTAACTAAAAAAAGAAAAATGGACAAAAGAGGAGCTTTCTTTCCACTTCCAACTATCTATCATGATCCAGGTCATAAACAGCATGATACACAACTTCAACTGGACTCTGTCATGCATACTTGTCTTTTTACAGTTACCACAGTGGGTAAAACCCAGGCCTTCTGAGAGCTCACAAGGTGCTATCATTGGGATCAGTGGAAGCAACCATAGAAAGAAGCCAAGACAGCAGAGTTATCTTGAGGAGCAGCCACACGGCAGAGATGCAAGAAGCATCCATTCTGCAGGGATGTGAGAAGTGCCCACCCTGTAGGGATTCAAGGAGCACACGCAGGAACACACACACTCCAGGGATGAAAGAACCACAGACACTACTGGACCGGAAGCAAGGACACTGAAAGAACCTAAGTTCACCTTCAGTTCACATTCAGAAACTGTTCACTAACAAAAGCCCAGCTTGAAATCACTGCTGACAACTTGGAGTAATTCTTAGTTTCTTCATTTATAATATTACACTGACTTGCAATCCAAAGTGGCTGCAAAAGACAACAAATTTACAAATTGCTACTACTGTTGATGCAAAGGAGACAAGATAGTTGGGGGCGGGCAGACTTAGGCAGGAAAATAAGATTCATGGAAGATCATTACTCATACAGATTTAACTGTGAAGAGGTCTACAAAATTCCAAATATATGTTTTGCTATTTTTTTTTTTACAAATTTACAGATGAATAAAAACCTCATACATACTCAACTTAACATTTAAAAATCACAAATAGTAAGGCATTATTAAAACATATGCATCACTAACAAGAAATACAAGTTTTTCTCAATTTAGGGATAATTGTTAAAGCACATGTAATTTCAAAAATTTTAAACATTCTGAGAATGCTAAGTGAGAAGAAAATATGGGTGCATTTACTAATAAATACAGACAGAGCTCTAAGTATCAGTTTAATTTAAATAACTCTGTTGTAGCAAAAAAAAAATGTCGAAAGTCACACAAACAATTCCAGTAGTAGAGAGGGCTGTACTAGAAAGAACAGTAGTTCCCTGAATTGAAGGAATTAATCCAACTTCAGCATCCAACTTACATTGCTCCATTGGTATAGACAGTATCACTTCCTTCCACATACTGCACCTGAGCTGGGTAGACATGTTGGACCTGCTGAACTGTCTGTACCTGCTGCACCTGAAAAATGAATATTAGGAACATGTTAAGTGGTAGACATCAAAAGGGTACACCACACTAGATCCATGGTAAACAATAACCATAGAAAGGGTCCATTGTATTAGATCCATGGTAAGTGGCAGACATAGAAAGAGTACACTACATTAGATTTAGCTCAGATTTCTCCAGAACATTGATCAGCAGGAGATGGCCAGGGATAAAATCTCTTAGGTTCATGCTACTTTAAAGTTAAGAAACTTGTGTGTTTAGATCAACTACAGCACTTACCCAAATAATTCTACAATTTTCTTGTCAGTGTACATAGACACGCAGTTTTATGCTTAACATTCTGAAAGCTTTTCAACTGATTTTGATGATTTATAAAATTCTACTCTAATTTTTAAACAAAAGCTAAATTTATTTTTAATTAAAATCAACAGTCTCCATCTGTATAATGTTACTTGTATATATGTATATTTTTCTGGGCTGACCATTTGGTATAGGATGGATGAGCTCTTTATCCCTGAAAACATATATACATACAAATAACATTTTATGGGCTAAGCAGGTTGTATTTCATATATTTAGAAATACATACACACATATACATAATTAATATCAATTAAAGAAAAAGAGGTCATGAATTTGAAAGACAGCAAGGGGGAGTTACATGGAAGGGGTTGTAGGGGAAAAAGGGAAGTAAGGAAATAATGTAATTATATTATAATCTAAAAAAGTGAAATATTACAATAAAAACCCCATAACAGAAAAATTTATACACTTAAATATTGCCAAGTATCTTAACAAATTTCATGCACTCATTTTTAAAGTAACTATCATCTACCCTTTCCTCTTATCCTCTCACAAATTATGAAAAGCAATTCTAGGATTATTTTTTTATATATTTACTTATTTACTTACTCATTTATGGGGGAGGGGCATATCGAGCTTGGAAAACAATTTTCATGAGTCATTTTACTTCAACTATGTGGGTTCTAGGACTCAAACTCAGATAGTCAGGCTTAGTGTCAAGCACCTTTACTCACTGAGCCGTCTCACTGGACCCAATTTGTCATTTCTAAGGGGTGAAAATTATTACTAAGATTTATTTCTAGTAATTATGTGTATGCGTGTCTGTGTGCAGGTGCTCACTGAGGCCAGAAGAATACTTTGAACCCTGAGTGGTAGTTGTAGTTGCAAGTCTCCTTACATGGGTGATAGAGACCAAACTTGGATCCTTCACAAGACACAAACCATGCTAACCACTGATATTTATCCTCAAGTCCCAAGAGATCAAAAGTATCAAAGCATTAACAGTTCCATCATATCATCTGGAATTCATCGTTCCAATGACTTTGTAGTGTGTGTCTGTTCAAATAAAGATGCTAATGTGTTCCCCAGAGTGCATTCAGGTCCCCACACCTTAATTGGTAACAGTTTTTTCATTCTTTTTCTACTTAGCCTTTTACCTCTAGAAAAAAAAAGGGGCTGTTGTTTACTTCAAAGGCTCTCTAGCATTATAGATTTATTGAACAGCATCACTTGACAAAGTTCCAGCATTCTGACATTGTGGATCACAATTCTCCAGCACCCTTTTACTTTCATTTTTAATGATTCTTGCTATGTGTTATGGGAGTTCCCTTATGCCTTTTCCTTTGGGAAATTTTATGTGGTCTTCAGTGGAGGATGAGGATGTATACAGTGGCTGCCTCTTTAAACAAAATAAGTCTTTGGAAAATATCCCCACCAGCATGGTAACTGCCTACTCCCACACAAGTTAACACCAAGCTGCTGGAAAATTTAGATAACTAACATATGCCTGATAGATAAGGTATATTTGCTAAATAATAATAAATAAGATTTGTTTGATAAATAAAGTATATTTGATAATCAAGATTTTATAAATTCTTAAGGTTTGCTCAGTTTCATAGTAATATCTGTTTAGCTTCCTCTTTGTTCACTTTAAGCTTTAGCTATTTGGATGAACTAAGACATACAAAAAAAACTGCAATATTCTATAATGGAGTGACTAGTTGTGTGTCATCCCCCACCCTCCAGAAAGTCCTTTTCCCAAGGTCAAACATGTAAACAAAAGTCCTCATATCCTCAGAGGCCAGAAGAAAGTTCTTGCTTGCTACAAAGGGCATTCTCCTTGTCTCTGGTAAGAGGTACTTGCAGCCCTTCCATTAACATATGACTGTGGTGCCTACTAACTTGTCTAGGATTCCCTAAAGCTGTAATTTCAGGTACTATAGTGTGCCAACCAACATGGGCTCTTTCTTAATGGTGGTAGATTACAAAGCCACTGATATGCTCCCCTCCACCCAACATCACAGTTAGTGAAATCTAGGGAAAAGCTAAGGCCACAAAGATTGTTTATTCTGACCAATAAACCTAGTAATACAATGCAAATTGAGAACTCAGCCCATTCCATTTTATTTGCAAATTATTATTATATTTGCCCAAAGCCCCCCAAAGCTTAAACCCACTGTAAATATCTAATAATTACTCATAGTTAAATAATGCACTGTACCTAGCAAACAAATTGCCAATGAATATTTATAAAATTTATATTATCTTCTACATTTGGGCATCAATTTTTATTGAAGAATAAAGAAGTTACTAAGAAACACTTATTATTCGAAAGTAAACAAGTAAGACTACTTATAAAATACATATTTTTATATATGTAGACATATCTGTGTGGGTGTATGCCATTTGCATGCAAGTGTCCACAGAGAGTGCTGGAGCTGGAGTTAAAAGCAGTTGTGAGCTGTTTGTGGTAAGTGTCAGGAAGTAGACTCAAATCTACTGGAAAAACTGCAAGTGTTTTTAACTGATGAGCCATCTCTCCATTCTCCTGATAAGAATATATTTTAATGCTGTTTAATGTAGCACTAAAGATGAGAGGTGAAATTTTTACATTGCATGCTATTTTCACTTTCAAAGACAACTATGATTCAAAATTGTTCAAATATTACTTGATATTCTATTAAACACTAAGTGATGTTTGGATCTGTGTTAAGAGGTTATACATTAGAGACTGATTTCCTATTTTAATTTTCATTAGTTTAATGCAGGAAGACTCAAGTAAGTATTGAGATGGGGAAATAACTTCCTATGGATAGTTCATCACCACTTCCAACAGCTTTATTTCCCACATCTCTTGTGAAATCTCTAACCCATCCCATCAGTTGCTACTTGCCCCCACACATGTCTTTAGAAAAGGAAATGATTAAATAAAGTCTATATGAAATTTTATTTATTTATTATTTATTATCTACATTTTATTTGCTTCACAAAATAAATTCCCAAAAATTCTTCCCCCCAAAAAATAAACATTTGCCACCATTTTTTTCATTTTTGTAAAGAGTTAAGTGGTCAAAATATGAATTAGAAAAGAGATGGATAAAGGTGGATTTAACATAGTTAATCATAATCAATTATAATTGACTATCCATTGAATAAAAGTGGTTCTAACATATGAAACTCAAAATGGCCTTGAATCAACTTTTAAGAGCTTAGAAAGTTGGCAGTAATGAGGGTCTCATTATAACAACATTCTACACTAGAGAGTTATTCTGTCCATTAACCAAAAATACACTGCCAAAATGTAAATATATGAAATAATGCACTTATATTCACAGTGACTAGGTGGTGGAGAAACTCACCTGTCTCACATGAATATATATTGAAATAAACAGAAGCACTCATATCACCGTTCAAAGTGTAGCACTCTGAGCTTATTTGCTTATTTAATGTACATGTTTCATGATTTGCCTTATTTACAATAGAAATGAATATCAAAGCAAATTACACACCACAGGAACATGTGTTAGTTCAACAGAATCAATTAGTATATTTTGAGGACAAATTTACACAATATGTTATTTTGGATGTGTTTCAAGAAAAAGAACATGAATCATACTTCAAAGCAGAAATCCTTCTCAATGGTAAATGAAACCAGTATAATTGTTACGTTTATTAGTCAGCTAAGAAGCTTTCTAGTATCTTTGTAAAAAAATTCTTTATGTCAAGATAATTATCTTGCTCATAAGAGCATTCCTTATACATTTAGTTGGCACCAAGTGCTCTCAGTGCTCAACCTAAGAAACACAAAAAGCTGTATTAACATTACTCTACTAGGTCTACAAGAGACATGAGAGAGCTCTGCCAGATTAAAAAGGTGAGAGGTTGCTATGCGACTGACCAAACATGAAATGGGAGGGAAAGAATCGGGGTCATAGCAGGTGTAACAGCAGGGAAGAAAGCCAGCAGTGCAGCAGCAGCTACTCCAAAGGCCACCTGTGACCAGAGAGAAGGCCTCAGCCAAGATTTCTAAACTAGCAACCCGGAGGGATATGAAGCAACTGAGGAAAGAAAAGTGTAGATGTCAAGAGGGCAGTGTGAGCAAGCCAGATCAAGATGCCAGAAAAGAAAAGGCACAAAGGGAAAGCTGGTTTGTCTAACAGGTAGGGAGTTAGAAAAATAGAAATAATACTCTCTCTCTCTCTCTCTCTCTCTCTCTCTCTCTCTCTCTCTCTCTCTCTCTCTCTCTCTCTCTGTCACCTGGTTAAAAGTAATATAAACTCTGTTGTAAGCTTTGTCATATGTCTTACCAAGAATACTCCTACCATCATTGACTACCATACTAACTATAGGTAAAGAGTATTGATTCATGAGCACAGGATGACAGTGACCAAGGCTTGGTGAAGTCACGGGACACTCGGCGCGGGGGTGGGGGGTACTTTAATTACCTCCTGCTGCACTTTTTGAGGAAAAGAAATGTCTCTACAATGTTAACATCTATGGGCTTCATCTTAGGACAGTCAATGTTAACTAATATAAGACCTTCAGTCTCCTGAGTGTGGTGGCCCCTTCACAAAGAAGATGGATGATTGGACAGTGGGACATGACTCTTATTTAAATGACAGAATTCATTGTAATAGAAATTTGAATTTGTTTCCTTACACTTAAATTCACTCCGTGGCCCTGAGATTGGCTGGCTTGTCCACTTACAC